TGTTAACTTTGACGCTCCACCCATCGAAGGTCCGATTCCAGACATCACTTTAGAGGAGCTTACAGAAGCTCTGAAAGCTATGAAGGATGGAAAGGCAGCAGGGCCCTCTGGACTCACAAATGACATTATCAAAGCATCTGGTACTGCAGGTATTCAAACGTTACTACAACTTTGCCGTGAAATCTGGAGAAATTGCTCAATGCCGACTGAATGGAACTATAGCATGACAGTCCCGCTATACAAAGGCAAAGGTGATCCATTGAACTGTTCATCATATAGGGGTATACGTCTGTTAGAACACTTCCTGAAAATTGTCGAAAAAATCATTGAGAGAAGATTAACGTCGTGCATCACAATCGGAAATTATCAATTTGGTTTTCTAGCGGGAAAATCAACAATTGATGCAATTCACATCCTTCGGCAACTGCAAGAAAAGTACCTCGCAAAGCATCAACAACTATCACACATTTTTGTAAACCTTGAAAAAGCATTTGATCGAGTTCCCCGTGAAGCAATCAGATGGAGTCTACGTCGACAACTCATTCCAGAATATCTTGTTCGACTTGTGATGAAAATGTATACGAATACTAAGACTTTTGTCAGCACAACGGTTGGAAACACAAATGCATTTGACATCGGCGTTGGAGTTCACCAAGGCTCGATTCTCAGTCCACTGTTATTTATAACTGTGATGGAAGAAATCACAAAACCGATACGCACTGGTGACATTTAGAATCTAGTATATGCTGATGATATCGTTTTAACAGCCACGTCTGTGCAGAATGCAGCACAGATGTTTGAAGATTGGAACACCAGACTCGCCGATCATGGATTCAAAGTCAACATCAGCAAAACCAAAGCAATGAACACTGGTGAACCCATCCAATCCACAGCTACTGGACGATGGCCATGTTCTGTTTGTAAAGCTGGTGTAGGTAACAATTCAATCAAGTGTCAGCAGTGTAACCAGTGGTGTCACAAACGTTGTTCAAAAATAATTGGTACTTTATCTAAAGTGTCCAATTTTGTTTGTCCTGCTTGCATCAATCCACAACAACAAATTCGAAATAGCACTGTTTTTGAAGCCATTAAAATAGAGAAAGTCACATCATTTCAATATCTAGGGGATGTTCTGGATTGTACTGGAACAGCTGAAGCTGCCGTTCGAGCACGCATAAAAAAAACATTTGTAAATCTGTCGGCGTTGTTTTTTTTATTTAATTTACATGCTAGATATTCAGGCGCCAAATCAGTTAACGACTTGATCATAATTTGACAAATTTTAAAGGTTTTTCTTTTTTGATCGGAAACCAGTGAAGGTCTTTCAAAATCGGCGTAATATGATCAAAGTTTAATTTATCAGTTATTAACTTAGCAGCCCGATTCTGCACTGACACACATGACGATTGATTTGTTTGGTAAATTGTAGATCAGACTGTTGCAATACTCCAGCCGAGGACTAATAAATGCTACATCAGCAGTGTTTACCAGAAACAGAGTAGGCTCAAGTACCGAACCCTGTCGAATCTGATATAACCTTCGAAATTGTATTATGCTTGAGGTTTGCGAAAATTTTATAAAAATCTTATGCATTGAAGTTTGCAACATCTTGATGTGTTCATTCATTGACAGTTTGCTGTTGGGTATACAATCCAGGTTTGATGCGACATCAACGAAAGCTATTTTTTCACCCTATATGATGATTGATCTCCGAATGGTGTTTGTCATGTCAACTTAAACAAAGAAAAATATAAACTATTCTGGAATGGTCAAAAGACGGTCAAAAATGGTGTTGGAATTTTTGTCAGAGAACCGCTAACAATCCTGATTGGAGGCAATCTCAATGGCCACGTTGAAGAGAAAACAGATGGTTTTGACAACGTACATGGTGGTTTTGGTTATGGAGAACGAAATGAAAATGGCAACCGCATCCTTGAGTTTGCTGAAAGTTACGGGTTTTGTTTACGGAACACATATTTTAGAAAGAGGTTGTAACGTCTCTTAACATACAAAAGTGGACCATCGGCTACGCAAATTGATTTCTTCGCTGTCAAGCAACAACGCCGAAAGCTATTCAAAAATGTCAAAGTTATACCTGGCGAATCATGTGTCGCCCAACATAGACTCCTTGTGGCAGACCTTGTTGTCGAACTGTGAAAACATAAGTCTAAACAAATGCCTCGGAGAATCAAAACGTGGAAGATTCAAAGCAATATTCATCGAGAAAAATTTCAACAGATTGTCGCAACACAGTTAGACCACCAATTGCAAGCCAGTACAGATTAGAGTACATACAAAACCGTTTTGATAAACGCTGCAACTACAGTTTGTGGAAAACAGGTACAAAACGTCAGCATGAACGGGACACTTGGTGGTGGAATGACAGTGTACAAAATGCAATAGCTGAAAAGTAAGCTGCAAACAAGCAATGGCAAAAATCAAAGTCTGTTGATGACCCTAAAATTTTTCGTGAGAAGAACTACTATGCAAGACGTCAAGTCGCACTGATCTGTCCGAGCCAGTGCGACTTGACGTACTGGCTCGGACAGATTGACTTGAGCGACTTGACACTGGCTCGGACAGATCAGTGCAGAGAGTGGCTCACTAAAAGCAAAGGTGAACAAATGAAATCTCTGTATCGTATAGCAAAACAAGCAAAGCGTACGAAAAAAGATATAGTTGGTGCCTCATGTATCAAAAACGACAAAAATGAGATGGTTCTTGAACAAGATGAGATCAAGCAACAGTGGAGAGAACACTTTAACCGTTTGTTAAATGAAACAAATTCCATCAATGTCAACTTTGAAACTTCCACCCATCGAAGGTCCGATTTCAGACATCACTGTCGAGGAGCTTAGAGAAGCTCTAAAAGCTATGAAGGATGGAAGGGCAGCAGGGCCCTCCGGACTCACAAATGACATTATCAAAGCATCTGGTGCTGCAGGTATTCAAACGTTACTATAACTTTGCCGTGAAGTCTAGTGAAATTGCTCAATGCCGACTGAATGGAACTATAGCATGACAAATCTGCTATACAAAGGCAAGGTGATCCATTGAACTGTTCATCATTAAATTCATACATTACGTGATTACGCTTTAACTCAGAGTTATCTCTAGGGCTGCAGTTGTTTTTCAGTATTAAGTGAGACGTCTTTTTATTGTTGTAATAAATTCGGAGTTTAACTTTACTATTTGGGTTGGTTGGTGTGACATTTTTATTGATGATATGTTTAAGAATAGTTTCATCAGTTGTGGCGAATGTGGCGAAACTACTTAGGGAGAATAAAGAACAAAGTTAATTTTTACAACGTCAAAGTTCATCTTGACAAAGTCAATATATACAGCAAGGAGCACTGATGATGATTTATTCGGAATCGAAATATGGCCTTATTTGCAGCATGAATTCGAAAAATAAGTTTATTTTGAATTTTAATAAACTAAACGTTCACCAAAAAACTTTACTGAGAAAAATCGAAAAAACGAACTACAAACATATTAACGCCAAACATTCGGTAGAATTTATAGAATATTGTATATATATATATATATATATATATATATATATATATATATATATATATATATATATAGTTGTTCAAAAAATCCACCGACGATTCAGCATTAACAAGTTTTATGGGTGATTTTCTAATATTTTGAACTAGCTCTTTACAATTAAGTCTATTCAAAATGTTGAAATCCATTTTATAATCGTTTATGATTTTAATTGTTAAAATTAATCAAGCGAGATCCCATTTTTATAATCGTTTATTTTTTTTTTTTTTTATATTATTATTAAAGTTATGCATATAGATCTATT